CAAAAAAAAAAATTTTAAATTATTATTATTCTGCATGTAATTGAGTGGGTTATGATAAAAAAATCACCCTGTATAGTCCATGCCTGCCCATCCCAAAAATTGATAACGACTAGATTTATGATCTATGATGCGTGTTTCCACTACGACTACATGATTAAAGTTTGTAGGGTTGTCATTCCCATGGTCCTTTAAAATCCTTTGCGGTGTTTTGATTTATTAAATAGAAAAATAAAATTTAAACCTTTTGTTAACACTTATTATTCATATATCTTTACAAAAAATTAAAAATAATTTTTTTTTTTTTAATTCTGACTCATTTTTTGGGTGTTGGGTACCTTATACTTTAAGGTGAACTGGTATTACTAGGGAAAAGATTAGTGCAGTAGTTTTCCGTTAACTTCTGTACTGTGGACATGGTGCTTTTTGCCATCGTAAAATGCACATATAGTTACCCTTCCTTACACTGCGGCTGCAGGTGTGGCTTAACATTATACTTTTGTCAACATTTAGTATGTCCACCAAGCCCCAAGTTTATTTTAAGTTTTAAATTTCAATAATTACATTACAAATGTTAAATTATTAAAAGTTAATTGGAAGATTATAATGTTTGTTAAATTACTTGTAATTTTTATAAAAAATTTTAGATGTTATCTGCAAACTGCATCGATAAAAGTGAACTTCCAGATTTTGACGAAGAAACTGGTATTCTTCCTAAAGATAATACAGAAGAAGAACAAGATATTGAAATTGAAATTGTTGAAGATGAGCCTCCATTTTTACAAGGACATGGACGTAATCTTCATGATCTTAGCCCCGTATGTTTATCAAATATATATTGACTTAAATTTCACAAAAAAAATAATATATGTATATATTTATATATATATACATAAAAAAAAATACAGAAAAAACTAAATAGTTTTTTTTTTTTTTTTAATTTTAATTTTTGTATATGACTAATTAACCTTATTTAAAGTTTATATTTTGATTTAAAATCGTTTTTATTTTAAACTTTAAATCAATTTCTTCAAATTACAACAACAAAAAAAGACAATTTTGAAATTTTTTTTTATTTTATTTATATTATTATGTACATAAAGGTATAGCCTTTATGTACATAATTTTCTCTCTCTTTTTTTTTTAACATTATTACATCATTACTTATCATTACTCTTTGAAATTTTTTTTTAAAACTAGTCTAAAATAAAGCTCAAGTCTCATTCATTTTACCTAAATAAATATTTTTGTGATTTAATAAGATTTATAAATGTTAATATGTTCTAAAATAATAATCCTTAATTAATATTGATTAGTCTATATTTTTCTTAAAATCATTTTAATTTATAAACATACATTTAAAGTATCACTTAAAAAATTTGATTTGACATAATTTTAAAGAAGAAGAATTAGCATTTGAGTTAAACAATTTTTTTTAATATGTAATACTTATAACTTGTAAAGATAAAATATAAGTATGTTATAGTATATAATTTAAAAAATATTTTATAAACATAAGTTACTAATCATCCTATACTAATGTCCTTGTATAAGTTGATTCAGAAATTTTTTTATTTATGAACAATAAATACTTATTTATTGTTTCAATGCTCCAAAACTTCACAATCTTGTTGTACAGTTTTTTTTTTTAACCAGGTTCGTATTGTTAAAAATCCTGATGGTTCCCTTGCACAAGCAGCTATGATGCAAAGTGCATTATCTAAAGAACGACGTGAACAGAAAATGCTTCAACGAGAACAGGAAATAGATTCAGTACCTAAGAATGTAACTAAAAACTGGATTGATCCTCTTCCAGATAGTAAGTCCTTTTTAGTATTGATACTAAGCTAAGAAGGTTTTATGTTTAATATTGTGTTTTTTTGTCTGTTACCACTTTTTCTTGGCTCTCACTGGACCGATTTTTATCAATAATTTGTCAAAAAATCACAAATTGCAACTACCTGAAGAAATAGCTTTAAATTTTTTTTTTTAATTTATCTTGTTCTTCGTAAATGGAGAAAATTAGCAAAAAAATTACAATTTTTGAATTTGGTAAATTTCGACACTTTTTAAATGTTTTTTTTAAATAGATGAATCAAAATAATTTTTATAATTATCATAGGTGTTTTCCTTTAACTAGGTATACATATTTTTTGAAAAACTGACCCTCTTGCTGTCCATGAACAGGATTCAAAATAGCAACTTTTTAACTTAACTTTTCAAAATGTGTTGGAAATACTACGTTATTTAAACATATTTTAAATTAAAGCTTGTGTTGCATACTATAAGTTTAAAAGAAAATTTGTTCAGACAATTTGTCTATGTTTTATTTTATTGATAAAGTAAGATTATAAGCATGTGTCATTAATTTATTGTCAACTGAAAAACACCATAGATAGAAAAAATCATTGACTTACCCTGACTTACTTACAGTTTTAATACACGTTTTCATTGTGGTAACAAATTATGCAGCTAATTTATAATTTTTTATGATTTTTCCATCAGAATTACATAATTAAATGATTGGAATATCAATTTCATACTAAATTTCATTTTTATAGTATGTATTAATTCATGTCTTATACTTTATAAATCATGGAACTTTTGATCAGGATATAATTAAGGAAATAAGAGTTCATGTTGCTTTTGAAATAATACAACAATTTCTTTTTAAAATTAAACGCTACAGATTTGCATCAAATCGTTTTTTTTAATAATGATTTTAATCAATGTCAGATATCATTTATACTTATCCCAACTATGTCATGTCCCCACTATGCTATAATTTTATATTTTTATAACTCTATTAATTTTTTAGATGAAGGTCGACATCTTGCATCTAACATGAGAGGTATTGGGTTGACTGCCCAAGATGTCCCAGAATGGAAAAAACATGTTATTGGTGGTAAAAAAAGTTCATTTGGTATGAAAACAAATTTAAGTCTTTTAGAACAACGACAAAGTTTACCTATTTATAAATTAAAAGATGAACTTATTAAGGTAAAAAATTTCTATGAGTACAAAATATATAAAAAAATATTTTTATTTATTAATATTTCAGGCTGTAACTGATAACCAAATTCTAATTGTTATTGGAGAAACTGGTTCTGGTAAAACTACTCAAATAACTCAGTATTTAGCTGAAGCTGGGTTTACTTCAAGAGGAAAAATTGGATGTACTCAACCCAGGAGGGTAGCAGCCATGTCAGTAGCAAAAAGAGTTGCAGAAGAATTTGGTTGTAGATTAGGTCAAGAAGTTGGTTATACAATTCGTTTTGAAGATTGTACAAGTCCAGAAACTGCCATAAAGTATGACTTTTATTTTTACATTTTATATTTAAAGTGTTTAGTATTCATATACTTCTATTATAGATACATGACTGATGGTATGTTACTGCGAGAGTGTTTAGTAGATTTTGACTTAAAAAATTATTCAGTTGTCATGTTGGATGAAGCTCATGAAAGAACCATTCATACTGATGTGTTGTTTGGCTTATTAAAACAAGCAGTTACGAAAAGAAAAGAATTGAAACTTATTGTGACTTCTGCCACTCTAGATGCAGTTAAATTTTCTCAATATTTCTTTGAAGCTCCTATATTCACAATTCCTGGGCGTACATTTCCTGTTGAAGTACTTTACACTAAAGAACCAGAAACTGATTATTTGGATGCATCTCTTATAACTGTAATGCAAATACATTTACGTGAACCACCTGGAGATATACTTCTTTTCTTGACTGGTCAAGAAGAAATTGACACAGCTTGTGAAATTTTATATGAAAGAATGAAATCACTAGGACCTGATATTCCAGAATTAATTATTTTACCTGTATATTCTGCATTACCTAGTGAAATGCAAACAAGAATTTTTGAAGCTGCACCTCCAGGTTCTAGAAAAGTAAATGTCTCTTTAGTATTAGCATGGCTGCTATCTTTGCCTTCATTGCTTTTTTAATACTGCACTGTATATTTTCATAATCAGCGCAACTAGAATAAAATTATTGGGGGAGATCATTTTTTTTCTCTACCTAAAATTACTTTCGTACATAAATAAATATATTTTTTTAAGTGTTGTGGGTATTGCTAAGCCATCTAGTCTTCCTTAGATAAACTAGTAATTATCAAAGCAGAATTTAAATTTTATTCTTTATACATCCAAAGGCAACAATTTTATTAAAAGAAAAATAGTAAATAACTCCATAATTTTTAATATGTATTTTTTGTTAACTCAATACAAATTTTCAATAATTATATTTTAATTTAATTTAAGGTGGTAATAGCTACTAATATTGCTGAAACCTCTCTGACTATTGATGGTATTTATTATGTAGTTGATCCAGGATTTGTTAAACAAAAAGTATATAATTCTAAAACTGGAATGGATTCATTGGTTGTTACACCTATTTCACAGGTATATGAAATTAAATAATTTTTATTTACTCATTAAATTTATTTATTTATTAGTATTGTACGGAAAAAAACTAACTTTTTCAAAATTATTTTAGGCTCAAGCAAAACAAAGAGCTGGGCGTGCTGGTCGAACAGGTCCTGGTAAATGTTATAGATTATATACTGAAAGAGCTTACAGAGATGAAATGTTACCAACTCCTGTACCAGAAATCCAACGAACCAATCTAGCTACTACGGTATGGATTTATAAAACTTCACTTCATCTAAATTATTCTATATAAATATCTAAGATATCATCTTTTATTTTTTAACAAGGTCTTACAATTAAAAACCATGGGAATCAATGATTTACTTCATTTTGATTTTATGGATGCTCCACCAGTAGAAAGTTTAATAATGGCTTTAGAATCATTACATTCTTTAAGTGCTTTAGATGATGAAGGTTTACTTACTAGACTTGGACGACGTGTATGTATTAGATTAAAGAAGTTCTTTTTGTCATATTTATCTTATTGTAATTTTAGATGGCAGAATTTCCATTAGAACCAAACTTATCAAAAATGTTAATTATGTCAGTTCACCTACAGTGTTCAGAAGAAATATTAACTATAGTATCTATGCTTTCTGTACAAAATGTTTTCTATAGACCTAAAGACAAACAAGCATTAGCTGATCAAAAAAAAGCAAAATTTAATCAAATTGAAGGAGATCATCTGACATTGCTAGCTGTGTACAATTCATGGAAAAATAACAAATTTAGTAATGCATGGTGTTATGAAAATTTTGTTCAAATCCGTACTCTTAAACGAGCTCAAGATGTTCGTAAACAACTGCTTGGTATAATGGATAGGTAATTTTTAACTTTTTAATTAGATCTTGAAGTGATTAAGGAATTTTAAGTTATATTTTTCAAAATTTATAAGTAACTGATATGCCAATCATGATAACTACCAAATACTAGCCTCAACTTATTATTCTTTTTTAATTTGCATCTTTTCTTTAGACACAAATTAGATGTTGTATCGGCTGGAAAAAATACAGCCCGTGTACAAAAAGCCATATGTTCTGGATTCTTCCGAAATGCTTCAAAAAAAGATCCTCAAGAAGGGTATCGTACTCTAGTAGATGGACAAACTGTTTATATACATCCTAGCAGTGCTCTATTTAATCGACAACCTGAATGGTACAACTTATTAATATAATTGAAGAGTGAATCTGTCAAACGTTCTATGTGCCAAAAACATATTTGTTCAGAAAACACAAAAAACAATGGTAACATGGACATGTCTTACATATCGAACACCATCTATGAATGCAATTAAGTACAAGTAAAAAATTTAATTGCCATTTGAAACACATACAAGATGGTGGCCTTTGGCACATAGAACATAAATCAGAAATAAAACAATTTTTCACTTTTTTGGCACATAAAACATTTGACACATTCACTCTTCAATTATTGATTTATTTATTTATAAAATTGACAGACACAGTCATTTTTACAGTTTAGTTGTTTAACCAAGCAATGTCATTAAATATAATTAAAAATTTTAATTCTAAATTAATTTTTCAGGGTTATGTATCACGAATTGGTTCAAACAACTAAAGAATATATGCGTGAAGTAACAACAATTGATCCGAGATGGTTGGTTGAATTTGCACCAGCTTTCTTTAAGTTTTCTGATCCTACTAAATTAAGTAAATTTAAGAAAAATCAAAGACTTGAACCTCTTTATAACAAATATGAAGAACCAAATTCATGGAGAATTTCTAGAGTCAGAAGAAGAAGAAACTAAATTCATGGTTATAATTTATACTTTGACAAAAAAATGTATAATACTGTATAAATTTTTTTTTACATTATCACAATAAAATTAAATCATTTTACTGTTGCTGATCTAGCAAACTGTACTACCATTGGTTTATCTTTTAAAATATAACCATTTGTCTCTTCCAATGCTTGACTGGCATTTTGAACACATGGCATAGTTATAAAAGCTTGTCCTTTCATACGCCCTTCTTGCATTAAACGTACATCAAACCTATCAAAAAATGTAAGCTAAAGAACAATATTATTAGAATTCAATAAAACTTACATTGTTCCAGGTTGAAGTTCTTTTAAACTAATAAATCTCTTATAAATGAATTTTAAATCATCTGTAGTAACTGTTTTAGCAAGATTCTTCACATATAATCTACATGACGGGGCTCCAGGATGATAATTCTTAAACACAGGTAAAATTTTTATATCTTTACTTGATAATCTATTGTTGGCTAATTCTTCTTTGCTAATACAACCTCCAGAAATGTCATCATCAGACAAATTTTCTTTAATTTCTTCTTCTTTAGTTTTATTTTTTAATGAATAAATAATACCAAATCCTTCAGTGTCAGCTGGTGGCCCTTCTATAGGTTTTAACTCTGCAGAGACTTTAACTTCAATTTTTTTTTGTTTTTCATAATCAACTTTATCAAAAACATGAGAAACCTCCAATTTTGGCTTCTTAGGGATTATTCCACTGACTACTTTTAAACGTTTTGGTTTGAAAAATTTTGATTTAGGTCTTTTTAACTGAATAGGTTGATTACCAACTTTATTTTTACTTTCTTCATCTTCACTTTCCATTTCAGATTCTGATAGTTCAGGGTCAGTTTCATACATAGTAGTATAATTATCAATAGTTTCAACTTTTTGAAAAATATGAGGTCGTACTTCTTCAACAGGATCAAAAGGCGTAGGCAAATTCATACGATTCATCAAATGAAGAACTTGATAGTAAAATTTTTTATTAATAGACAGAGTGTAAGCTATATTAGCCAATATATGAGGATTTGGGTCAGGGTAGCTGTAACGGAGATGATGGGGAGGAGGCAAATCCATATTAATTCCTGAAGACCAACTATTTAATTTTTTTAAGTAAGCTTCTTGTAATTTTTTAAATTCATCTCCATTATTATCAATTTTAGGTAATGGTTTAGGGCATACCATAAGATTTACATCTAAATCAGTAGGAGACAATTCTACAGTTAATCTACGACCTAAAAGTTCTTTCTGATGTAACTGTTGAACTACAGCTTCTGCTATTTCTTCTGACTCGAACCTATAATAATTATAAATGAATATTATTATTATAATATTATATTAAACAATATATTTTCTACAATAAAAGAATCTAATTCTTTAGTTGAGATAAAATTCAATACAACTTTAATAAAAAGAATTAATAAACATTACAAAAGAAAATACCTGGCATATGCAATACATCTCTTATTTGCTTTGGATGTTAATAATTTGACATGTTGTGCGCCAAAATGTTTCAAAAAATCTATTTTATGTTCGTCATCTATTTCAGTAGGAATATGACGAACTATAATGGTACTAGATGTCTTCATTGTAATTATTCTAAATACTGACTTTTATAAAGACATTAATAACTTAGGATATCAAAAAAACACCCATTTAGTACAAAAAATGTATTTTAATATTAATATTAATCCTTGTATCCAAAAATGGCGCATTAAAATTTTTTATTTATATCAATTTAAGTTTTTATCACAGTATTTAATGCGATTGTCATGATAACTCATCCATACATTGAGTTGCCATATAATACAATCACAGATACGATAAATTTATCTGTGGTACAATATTACCGTATGTGTTGTTAATATAAGGCGTCTTTAAGATACTAATCTTTGCTATCTACATAGGATTTATAAATAGTTCAATTTCGTGATAAAATTCAGTATTTCATTTAACTAAAATTGTTAATACGTAAAACATCTAGTAAAATAAAATAAAATAGAAAAACAACTCTTTAAAAGTGAATTTACATTTATACATCTCACTCCTAAAATTGTTATAAATGTTATGTGAACTGTATAAAAATTTACCCTGAAAAATTATGTGAAGCTGTTAAATTTTAATTTTTTAATGATGCAAAATTTTAATCTGGATAAAAATAAAATTATTTTAAATATGCTGGCTTGAAGTATAAATAGTATGTTGGCTAAAAGTAAAATAATAAAGTATACTAAATAAAATAGAATGTATGATTTTAACAAGATTGTTGCTAAGAAGTAACCAAATAATATTTACCTATAAATACGGTAAACATATTTCATCATTTTGTCATAATTTCTTAGTTAGTAAATTCCTTGTTAACTTTTCGTGATTACGATTACAAATTGTGAAAATCATTTCATTCGACAAGCTTATCAAGAACCCTCATAACACGAAATTCTTTGAAACAATCAGGTAGATCGAAAAATGTAGTGACAAGTTGATAGGATTTCTCGTGGACGCCGAAAAATTGTATCGACGTAATTTATCTTTAATTATTTTAAACTTATTGCGGTCATTTTTTATTCATTTTATGCTAATTATGATCAAAAAAATTACTTTTTATTTAAATAACTAAATTAAACTAAAATTACTTTATTAGTAGTTTCTTTACTGTTAAATTTTAATTCAAGTAACTATCCAACACTGAATACAGGTTTTATCTACAACTCAGTAGTCAACAGCGCTTTAGTAGTGTAGTAACTCAAAAAGAAAGAATTAAATAAATATTATTACTCGGGGTATGAGTACGAGGGTCTGCAAGAAAGATAGAAGATGATAGAAAATGAAGTGATCTTTATTTTATTAATATGGGATTCATTATAATTAATTGTCAATAATGCCACGAGTTTTGACGGTTACCGATGATAGATAAGATAGAGTCACCTCGTGTGTCTAACCAGAGTGGTATGGTGGCTATACATATGAACCTCCAACTTAAATCCTGAAATTGACACGTATCAAAGATGTAACTCTGCCAAATAGCTCCGTACAAAAATTATCGATTTATTAAATTTATTAGGTATATTTCTTATTATTGATCTTCACTAGATTTTCCTGTATAAAATTTAATTCTAAATCTTATATATTTTTGGTGAAATTATTAGTTACCTACCTTGATAATTTTTTATGTCACTTTGTTATATATATATTGTTGTATTCTCATATAAATATAATGTAGAGACAGCGGATCTCTTCTCACATATTTCGTTATAAAGTGTGGACTGATTGAGCGTAATTCAACGTTCTGAGTGCTTCTGTGAATATCTAACGCATCTGAGCCAGAATGCTCTTTATTTTGGGCTTTTTATATTAAATTTTATCGTTATTTCAAAGGCAAGAAGAGATCACCGATGCCACCATTATTTTTTTATTAATTATAATTTATTACGTCTTATTTATTAAATTTTCATTAATAATGATCTATATTTCATAATGTTCTACCGCCGTTTGTTCTATAAAATCTTACACATTATTTATTACCTCATGTCTAACATTTTACTCTTTTCTGTTTCTTTTATACAGGGTGATTTTTTTATCATAACCCACTCAGTTACTTGCAAAATATATATAATTTAAACATTTTTTTTTTGGTTTTCTTTAGTTACACATTATTCTTGAATTATTAACTATTTAAAACTTTTTATGATCATCCTTTATGCCTGGTAAGGGTGTCAACTTTGTTTTTTTAAATGGGAACTCATATTTTGAATAGTAAATGGCATTTGAATTTTTATATAACTTTATTCATTTTATTAAATTTTATTTATTCATAAAATTCTAATTAGTTATCTGTATTTATAATCCCTTGTGTATTATACATGTATATGAACTCAAAAATTTGAAACTTTAAGTGTTTATATCTAATAAACAAATAAAGTTATACTAAAAATTCGAATGCCATTTACAATTAAATTAAAAACTCAAACATTTTATTAAATTCAAAATATGTGTTCCCATTTAAAAAAACAAAGTTGACACCTTTACCAGGCATAAGGGATGATCATAAAAAGTTTTAAATAGTTAATAATTCAAGAATAATGTGTAACTAAAGAAAACCAAAAAAAAAATTTTTAAATTATATATATTTTACAAGTAATTTAGTGGGTCATGATAAAAAAATCACCCTATATAATTATGTTATTTATACAAAATTACATTGATATATTTTTAAACATTTAAAAATTATATATATATAGCTTAATGTTATATTGGTATATGTGTCATGTTATATAATTTATTAATTAAATTCTGAAGTTTTACATTGTAACAATAATGATATACGATGTATATCATAACAGTAGATAGACTTTGCATCTTAGATAGCGGAGGTATTCTAATCAGACTGGCTCGCGATCTAATAAGGCGGCTGATGAAAGTGGTGAGGTGACGCAGGGGCGGATCCAGAATTTATTCCGGGGGGGCGTTATTAGATACATTTTCTTCTTTTAAGAATTGATTTATAATTTTGTGTTTGTTACATTTCAATTTTTAAAAATTCGTTAAATGTTTGCTGCATAACAATTTTTTGAATTACTATAATAAATAGTAATTCAACAAACTTGAAAACCTTACAACCGATATTGCTAACTTGAGGGAAGAAAACAGAATTCTTAAAAACGTGCTTGATACGTTACGTAAACATGTTGATTCTCTTGACCCATCTACTAAAGTAACGAATATAAATTCTGTAGTTAACTTAATTGTCAAAGTGGAAAAGTCAAAGAATATTTTGATTTTTTGTGTTAATGAGGATAATGATATTGACGAGAATCCACCAATTACAGTTAAAAAAATTTTTAATTCATTATCTTTGTCTACTCAGATAATACATGCCACTCGTATAGGAAAGAAATATGAAAAACCACGTCCTATACTAGTTAATCTTGCAAGTAAAGCTGAAGTGTTATCCATTCTAAAAGCGAAGCGGAAACTACGCATGATTGATACACTAAAACATATTTTCATCGGAACCGATCAAACAAATCAACAGCGTATCCAATACGAGGACGCCAAACGCCAAATCGATGAAAAAAAACATAGTGCGGAGAACGGCTGGTTCATTAAGTTTGTTAATGGTGTTCCCACTCCAGCCAAAAAAAACTATTGAACGCAAACGAGTCTAGGAAGAATAAAAGTAATGTAAATAAAATTAATCATAAGTTTAATTTATCAGGCTATTATCAAAATGTTAGAAGTCTAAATAATCATATTATTATGCTGCAAGTAATTGAGTGGGTTATGATAAAAAAATCACTCTGTATATTCTAATTACTATTAAAAATATATATTAACAAGCTTTATTCTCATTAGGAGATATAGAGTGTATTTATTCAGATTACAAAGGATGATTCCAATATCGTCATTTTTCGTCACTACCTCCATGTTCCGGGAGTGGGTAATTTACGCGCCTGCTGCTTTCATTGGATGTAGTAGCCGTTTCTCAAACTCCCTCCCCGGAATCGAACCTTAATTTCCCGTTACCCGTTACAACCATGATATTGATAGTAACTACTATCATAACATGTGAATGAACGTAGCGCCCGGTGTTTTGTCTTAAGTTTTTAGCTATGTCGAGGATAAAGAATAAGATGAGTGGACCGTATGTTTGAATGTAGAATGAATTTCACAAGATATAATTATAAAAATTAAATGTATTATATAATAAATATAAAATCTTATTTTGTAATAAACCAAAAAGAAAAAAAAATATTAAAAAAAAAGTAGTTTATTAGAATTTTGTTGGAATGTAAAATAATAAAATATAATAAATGGTAGGTATAATAAAATATTATAAGATGATAGGTAGGTTTATAGGGATTAATAATGGAGGATAAGGAAAAAAATGGTGGTGATGTGGATTTTACTATTGAATGTATAAATGCTTATATTGTACCAAAAGAAAATCTAAGGGTTGGTTCTTAGTCAGACTAAAGACATAATATAGCGTATGTATGGCCGAATAATAATAAAAATTATTAAATA